GTTCCAGGGGCTGTGTTTCGCAATGATGCTCGAAATGTCCCTTATAGGCCTCCGTCTGTTTCCGGTTATTTTTATTTTGAAATTCAGTTCCTGACGGACGCCAAAAAAGCCAGAGATTATGGAATTAAACCAATAAATAAAAGCAAGGATGATTGTGTGTTATTGGTGAGTAAATAACAGTGTGTTATTTAGAAAATAATAACAAATTAGAAGGAAGATTTAAAAAACACAGATTTCAGTATTCTGAGGCTCTGAGACATTTATTTTCCTCACAGACGGAAACAAAAGTCAGAGATTATACGATTTAAAATAAAAGCAATAATCGTGGCTTGATATTGAGTAAGAACATGTTTTATGAACCACACAGCTTCCGGTCTTCCTCGACCCGACCGGACAAAAAGACGCAGGCACGAAACACACTACCAATAGAAATACATTGCTTTTAAAATCGTTCTGTGTGACACGAAAAAAAGGGGGAAATCGTGTTGGTGAATACGAATCAATAGATTACATGTCGTGACTGTAACACGAAATGCCGTGAGACTGGGTTCAATATCTACACTGCCCGTTTTTTTACAGTAAGCCTTAGTGGTTTCTGTCCTGGATTAAATTGTAACGCTATAAAAGACGAGACCAGTGTTATGATTTATATTTGAAGCAAAGCCTCTCTCACAACGCTAACAATGGGGATCTATCATAGCTAAATACGGTCTGCTGAACTGGTTAGCTAGCCATTTGCCAAATCCTGCATCAGCTGAAGGTACGAAGCGACTGGATGCAGATCTTTACAGTGAAAAGTGAAGCTCAGTCACAGCGAGCTGGGTGCTGCCGCCTAGTGGCTGATTGAAGCAACGCAGCTGGACACACACGTCCAAAAAGAGACACAACATTACGACAGTCACAAAACGACTACAAAATGAGAACATAAAGACACTCATTTCCAAAAGACACAACATCCCACAGAGACACAACATAAGGCCAGTGAAGGAAGAAGCAGCAGAAGGTGGAGGTGATGGAGTCTGATGTTTATCAGTCTGAGATCTCTCCATCATTCAGAGACGACCTCTCTCACAAACAGTCTCAGAGGGATTCAGGACTTTTATTCTGCCAGAGTTTTAAAAGACCGTCAGCTCAGTCTTCAGAAAGTCATCGGTATCGATCAGCAGCTCCAACAACCAGACAGGGAATATCTTTCTGTCTGTTTTCCTCCAGACTTCGCAGACGTTAGCTTCATATTTAAAGGAAGACAGCACCCTTATCATTAGTTTGTATTGGGGGGATTCATTAGAACTTTAAATCAGCTGTTTTAAACAAACTTTATATTTCTGTTTCTCCCCTCGCTGTGTGATGACTCACCCGTATCTCCCCCCCCCCCCCCCTCTCTCTCTCTCTCTCTCTCTCTCCCTCTCTCTCTCTGTGAGGATGCACAACAACCAACCTTCAGTTTCCAATTAGATCAGTGGCAGCCGAACCAATTAGTGTTTCGGGGTTAGAGATATCCTCGCTGCAGACAAACATGCTGACACAGCTTCTTCTACTTCTGGGAGCACAACAACAGAAATATGTTTTATAACCAGGTAGAGAAATCAGGGATGGATCAGTCCAGATATCTGAAATAACATATTTTATATCCTGTGAGATTTTACACAAGTGTGTGTCAACAAAATGTTGGTTTATGTGCGCAGAAGTCCTCCGACAAAAAGGCATCGACTGTCTGCTCGTGGTGCTCAGTGAGGGTCATTGATTAGCTCAGCTGCAGGTTCACGAGAAATGGACACAGTGCTTAGTGAGGGTCATTGATTAGCTCAGCTGCAGGTTCACGAGAAATGGACACAGTGCTCAGTGAGGGTCATTGATTAGCTCAGCTGCAGGTTCAAGAGAAATGGACACAGTGCTCAGTGAGGGTCATTGATTAGCTCAGCTGCAGGTTCAAGAGAAATGGACACAGTGCTTAGTGAGGGTCATTGATTAGCTCAGCTGCAGGTTCACAAGAAATGGACACAATTATTGATAATAACTCAAATATAAGACGGATGTTGTCATAACGTTTTGCTGTTGATAAATGCTGACCCACACCTTCACTTCAAGTCCTCCAGACTTTTCGGTGTTTTGATTATCCGTTCACCGAGGAAGCATAAAGGCAAGTTTCTTCAAGCATTTAAGATAACAAACGGGGGTGAAATACACCTTAAAAGTGTTCTTTACGTCAGTGGCTTTATCATATAATATCTAACCATTTCTTTTACCATCCTCCCATTTCACATGTAAAAATATGTATGTTTGGCAGTGTGATCCTTCATTTACCACGACTCCCTCCACATGTATTCTACTCATACAACCTGGTCTCAGTGTGGCGGGTAGAGATATGGATCCGTTCAGGTGAGCGTTTTCTGCACCGGCTGCACGTTTGTTTTATTGATGAAACTCAGGGGAAAACAAGCTGCTTAGGAATTGAGATAAAGTGGCTCCTTTTGTGAAACCCTCCCATGCAGTTCAGATACTGGAACCATTTTAAATCTCAGTTAGAGCAAAGAACAGGAAGAACGACACGTGGAGATCACACTGGAATATACTGAAGAGGGTTAGGAACATTTTGAGAATCTCAGAATTCTGAGAAAGAAATTATTCTGACTTTAAAAAAAAAAAGATTTCGAAAACATTTTCTGACTTTTCCAGAACATTTGAACTTTTTCAAAAACTCTGAATTCTAAAAAGAGAAGGAAGTAACGACCTCAGATATCTGAGAAAAAGAGTAAAACATTCTGAGACTAAAATAATTTCTGACCTTTTTTGAAAATGTCTGAATTGTTGAGAGGAAAAATATTCTGAGGAAAAAAGTGTAAAAACTCAGAGGGAAACAATTATTCCGAAAAAGTTTAGATTCTGTGGCAAAGATATTTCAGAGTAATACTTCAGTAAGTTACACCACTGTGATTACATGACACTTTTCTGAAAGGCAACAATTATTCTGTCTTCTTTCTGAAAAAAAGACAGACTTAAATCTGACAACATATTGAGAAAAAAAAAGTATTTATGACATGTTTTGGATATCTCAGAATGCTGAGTAAAAAGTGTTAAAATGTAAAGAAAATGTTCGTATTGTTTTTTGGAATTTCAGAAAAAGTATTTTTTGAGATCTCAGAATTATGAGAAAGTAAACATTCTGAGAAAGAAAATAGTTCAGACTTTTCCCAAAATGTAGTTTTTTTCTGAAAATCTCAAACTTTTTAAAGGAAATAATTCTGACATGTTTCTGAAAATTCTGAAAAAGAAAATAACGATCTCAGAATTCCTAGAAAAAAATAGAATTTCTGACAAAAAAGAAAAATTCTGTCTTTTTGAAAAGCTCAAAATACAATTGATCTGAGACTTTTTTCTGAATATCTCAGATTTCTGGAAATAAAGTTGACATTTTGAGTGAAAAATATTTCAGAGTAATACTTCACGAAATTACTAAATGAATCTGTTCTGAAAGGCAACAGAAGAGTAAGACACGAGCACCACTGCGTTTCCTCAGGGAATGTATATAAAAAAATAACCAAATGTTTTTTATTTCATGTTGATACATTCTTGGACAACACCACAGAATAGTTGCATGAGTGGCCGAATGTAAATCTCTCAACAACATTGGCACATAAGCAGCAAGGGCAACATGAATATACCGAGTACAAACAGTAGAAAACATACATGCTTCCGGCTTTTTTAAAACAAGTATTTTTTTTTTTTTAAATATATATTCATCTTTTTTCTCCATTTCCCGTAGTTTCCAGGAAAATAAGAAACCAATCAAAGCCATATTCTGCTGTGAGAGAAAGTGGAATAAAGGAACGGAAAGGAAATGAAAAACAGTACAGTTCAGAGCAGACAGGTGGAATCAAACCGAGTTGTGAGGACTTCGTTATTATTATTTTTTTTAAAATCGGATTCAACATCGAACATATCAGGCATGCATTGACAACCTCGACATCAACACGTTGAGTTGGATCAGCAGACCGGGAATCACCGGGAATCCAGCGAGGTCCGGACCCCCAGAGGCTCTTTAACAACACAGTTAAGGGTCATCTTCATCATCGTCATCATCACAAAATACTGAGAGGTCGTCATGTAGGGACCACACAAGAGGGGGGGGGGGCTTCCATCATGGGACCACAAACATTTCAAACAGCTCCAACAGAAACATGCCAGGGCCTTTTCTTTTTTTTGTTGCTTCGTGTCCGCTGAAGGAATCTGATTTCCCCACGTCAGTTATTTGGAAACGTTAAACAGAAAGCACATCTCTGACGTTTTTTTTTTTTTTTTTGGAAAGGCATTACAGTATTTGAGACAAAGATCTCATTCCCAGTCACTTAATCAAAGAGTCACTAAAAGTTCGGAGGCATCCCGGTCTCATGCACATTCAGAATCACAAAGATAAAGCCCCTGAAAACATGGCTTCAAATCTCCGTTGAGTTTAAGTTGTAATACGTAATATTTCTGAGTTGAGATGTCTAAAAAAACCGAATAAATTGCATTGTTGACTAAAGTCATCATTGTTGACTAAAGTCATCATTGTTGACTAAAGTCATCATTGTTGACTAAAGTCATCATTGTTGACTAAAGTCATCATTGTTGATTAAAGTCATCATTGTTGACTAAAGTCATCATTGTTGACTAAAGTCATCATTGTTGACTAAAGTCATCATTGTTGACTAAAGTCATCATTGTTGACTAAAGTCATCATTGTTGACTAAAGTCATCATTGTTGACTATAGACATTGTTGACTATAGACATTGTTGTTGACTATAGACATTGTTGACTAAAGTCATCATTGTTTACTAAAGTCATCATTGTTGACTATAGACATTGTTGTTGACTATAGACATTGTTGACTATAGACATTGTTGTTGACTATAGACATTGTTGACTAAAGTCATCATTGTTGACTAAAGTCATCATTGTTGACTAAAGTCATCATTGTTGACTAAAGTCATCAGTGTTGACTATAGACATCATTGTACAAATAGCATTGTTGACAGAAGTCCCCAAATAACAGTAAGAAAGGTTTAATTTCATCGATGTTTCAACATCAATTCTTACTGACTTTAAACAGAGATGGTTTGCAGAGATCTTTGGAAAACCCTTGTGCTAATCAGAGTTGTATTTGTGTTTTCAGGGCCTTTCAGAGACGTTTCAGTGGCAGACATCAGACTCCTGTTGGTAGCGCGACAAAGCCCTCGAAATCTCAAAGCAGAGAATATGGCTTCAATAAGAAAACAATGTGCATCCAATAAGCAGAGAGCAAAAATAGACTCATCAACAACGTCCAAACCATCATCGCCTTGAAAGAAACCGTAAAGAGGAAATTAAAGCAACAACCAAAAAGAACATATAAGCCATAAAGAGCCACACTCGGGAGGACAGGAAGTCGGTTTAAAGACGAGAGGAGGCTTCGTTTGACATCAACGGCGGAGAGAAGACGTCCGCCATGTTCCTTCTCTGCATCACGGACACAATGATTTATTTTTTTACCTTCGACAACAAACCGCTCGCTCGCCTCTCTTTGTAAATGTGCTCAAAGTCCAGAGGAAAGTCCCAGCAGGCTTTGCTTCAGCTCCTGGAAGCCCGCGGTGGGCAATGAAGCACATGATACCAGAAAAATAAACAACATAAACTTCTCCTCCCTTTCCTTGTTTTCAGCCGGCAGGGCGGGAACATACTCTTCTTCCTGGTTCTCAGTTTCTCAGTCTCTCGCTCGATGGCTTCAGATCTCGTGGTCGTTGTAGCTCACGTATTTCTTCTTTGCTGCCGGACCTGAATAAGAGGAGAAAAAGGAGAATGAAATACGAGCTTCAGTCAGGTCTGTTGGCTGTTAGTGTAGCTGGAGGTTAGTGTTGAGATCAATGGGAAATGTACGGAAGAGGATTAGGGCCAAATGTGGACATTTTGTTGAGATCTGACCAAAGTGAAATTTTTTGTGATATCTGAGATGAGAGTCAGAATTTTGAGGTAAATATATATATTTTTTTCTTACATTTTCTCCAAAGTCTGTCTTTTTTTCTCAGAATTCTGAAGAAAAAGCATTTGGGATTTTTTTTAATGGAAACTCAAGAAAAAAATATATCTCAGAATTTGAGAATTTTACGGAAAATCTCAAAATTCCCAGAAAAAAAGACAGAAATTTGAGATAAAACATATTAAATGTTTTCCCCCAGAAAGGGAGAATTAGACTTTTTTTATTATAACAAATGTTTTCTAAAATAATTTTCAGAAGTTAGAATTTCTAGAAAAAATGATTTCTATTATTTTTCACGGAAAATCTCAAAGTTCTGCGAAAATACATTTCTGGCTAGCTCTAAAAAATGTGTTTCACATGTGGCCCTTATCTTCTTCCGTAGATTTAGAGTTTATGATTGCATGAAAATGAAATGTTAGAAGCTAAAACAGACGGTTTGAATCATGAAGGAGGATTGTGCCGTTTGCAGAGCCTGAGATCACTGACAATAATAACACCACCAAATGTCGAGCAAATTAAAAAAATCATTCGTGTTTGTTTTCAACTTCTATTCGTTGATCTTTAGAAAAAATCATGAGATAAAGATGACTTCATTTTCACTGAAATACCAACAAATAGCTCTCTTTGTGTGGGAGAGATTCCAGCCTCAGCAGACCATTTACATGCACTAACACCTAAAGAACACACACAGGAGAGGGAACACCACAGAAGAAGAATAGGCCTGTTTTCAAGAGCAGTACCCTTTAGTGTTGACCTCCTCCCTATCTCCCCCCTGCAGCGCCCCCGCCCCCCCCCCCCCCCCCCCCATCTAACGGACACCGCTGAACCTCGATGACAAACGGCTCGGAGCCAGAGGCCCATCATCAATCATGGCGGTGATAAAAGAGGAAATGGCAGAATATGCATATTAAAGCTGACTTTATCATAACGTGTCTTCTTCATAAAGAGAGGAGTCTTTTGAGCTTAGAGTCCACGGAGAGGAAGAGCAGTCCAACATTATTCAAGATTCAAGGCTTTATTGTCATGTGTGACAGCGTTACAATGTGGTTTCTGCTTTGCACTGAAACTGGGCGACGTCAGAGGTGAACCGTCAGGGCCTTCAAGGTATTCAGAGAACACCCTGGAACACTCAGATAAAACAAACAACACATCGATTTAATTTAAAATAAAATGTAATTAAATGAATAAATGAGAATGGTATCCGTGTTGTTGATCTGTAATATTACAGTGTTACGTTGATTTGTTTGTCCTTCTCGGACCATGCTCTACGCATTTCAGTGGTTTTGTGTTAGAAAAGAAAGCAACCAATCAGATCTTGTTCTGGGTCTCTGGGTAGAATCTCCTTCACCAAGGTATTCTACATCTTTGATCGAAGGCCCTGGCCGTTGCACTGACTGAGAGCGTACGTTTGGACTGACAGTTTGATCAACCAATCATATATTGATTTGTAGCCAATGGGCGTGTTCTTTCAGAGTTCCCCTCGGTTCCAGGTGCTCTAGAAGGCCCGCCAGTTAACTGGAGAGAGACAGAGGATCACGTAGTTTTTAACGTTGTAATGGCAACAGGTGAAGATGATGTTGTTGTGGAATTGTTGTCAGTACCCTTTTCAACGGACATTATAACGGCGGGGCGTGTGTGTGTGTCTACAGAAGGTTCAGTTGTGATAGACAAGGTTCGCCACTGGGCATCTTGTCAAAACGTGTCATCTTCGTGTTATCATCGGTGCATTCGCCCTCACTCTGATCGGGGCGAATGCCCGATGGCACCGATGATAACAAGATGCCCTCACGATGGCCTTCCGAAGGGCACAATTGACACACGAATTCAACACGAAAATGAACCTTCGCAAGGTCCTTCGGCAATTTTTTTGGCATGCCAAAGATTTTGCCACCGCTCACGAAGTTGCTGCCGGAGCCTGAGAAACTCCACCGGCGGTCATACGATGGCTTAAGATGCCCTCACGAATGGCCCGATGTTGCTACGATCACAGCCGAATTTGAACATTTCCTTTATCGTGTGTCCATCGGGTTTTTTATTGCACAACAAAATCATGTAAATATATTATGTAAATAACCCAATTTGTGTTCTGTGAAACTAAAAAGGATATAATATATTATTTTGAAGGACAGTTGACAGGAAGTTGTTGTTGCTATGGAAACAACATTACGGAGAAAACGTAATATTTTCTACATATAACGACGGATAAAGTAAAGAACAAAGTCTGAAGATATCAGTACAGTATCATAGTAACATAATTGTTTGTGTTACTTTCGTTGCGGTTGTACGTCTTAAATGTAATGTAAATGTTGCCTTCGTGTGTGGTTCGGGGCCATCTTCGTGCGAAATTCACAATTCCATATTCGTGTGTCCATCGGGTGTCAACTTCGGGACAGTGTGACAGGGCCTTTAGGAAAAGTGGTGGGGACCCTTTTTTCAGATTTTGAAAGCACTACTGCATTTAGGGCACCTACCGTCAAACAATACATACATTTTTGTACAACTAGTGCAGTAACTGCTGCAAAGCTATTCTCTATTCCATTAATACTAACATGTGAATTGGGTTAGTAGAAATTCACCCAGAAAGTGAGAACAGTCCTCCAGATTGAACATGTTCTCTTGAGCAGATAAACCTTTCTCAAAGTAGTTATTTGCACTATTTTCAGAACTGTTTAAACAGATTATCCTGATGCAAAGTGTAGGGGGGGGGGCACTAAATGAGCCAATCCTAAAAGTGGTGGAACCAGCGTCCCCAGTATAAATGACGCATACGGTGTGATGAGTGTGTGCAGAGGCACCGAGATCACTTACAAAATACAGATTTTCTGTAAATTTCATTTGAAATCTTTCTGAAACACAATTCTGACTTTTTTCTCAAAAGTCTGTCTTATCTCCAAAGTGTTCGTCTCGTTCCTCAGTTCCTCAGTAGATATCCGTCCAGGTGAGAAAGGCTAATCCCCAGAAACACACCTGCAGAGTTCCTGAGCTGCAGAAAGCGTGAGATTTGGAAGAAACGCTGTAAGGATTGTTTCTGAGAGCAGCCGGGGTTATCGGAGTTTCACGGAGATACAGAAACCTTTGTGAGGATTGTGAAGAGAGGCTGAGAGCCGTGAGAGAGATATAGAAGTCTTTGTTGTCGGGGAATCAGAGAGCAGAGATGAAGCCATCTGAAGAAACTGAGGGCCGTGAAGAGAGGCAGGTGAGAGGATTTAAACCTGGAGGATGAACAAGTTGCTGCTAAATTAATATGTAATATTCCCTTCCCTACACTCTTAATGTAATATCCTGCTTTATATCGTGTCTAAAGCCGTTCAATAGTTGTTTCTAGATCTTTTATCTTCACGTTCTACTATATACTTCCTACTTTTGAATGCTGTTTTAATTCTATTTCGAGATGTTTACATTCTAGTATTTAATTTCTACTTGTGTGCGATGCCTTGTCTTTTAAAGATGATGCTTATGCTGCTGCCAATGATGCTGCTTATACTGTATGTGTTTGTTTATGCTCCTAATGCTGCTGCTAATATGCTCTTTTTAAGTTAGAAGTAACAGAAACACAAACTGATTAAAATATGGAATTGATTTAAATGTTTTTCTTCTGACACTTCTGTTTTCCTAAGGCATGATGCACCTGCCCTCCATGCAACCTTTTCTAGCCGTTTTGGGTTGTTAACAGTTAACATATCCCCCACTCTGCCTTCACTTGAACACAGCAGAGCAAGTCAAGCAAGAGGCTAGTTTTGGTTCCTGCTTGATGCCGGTAGATGTTGTTTTAAAGCGAGCTAGTTAGCTGTGCACTGGAACAAATGCTGCTCCAAAAACAAGTTAAACAATAATGAAAACAAGCTGTTTTCACTTGAAATAAAGACAACAATCTGCAACAGAACATTAGCCTGGTGAGATGTCGTGAAATGAGAAGGGATATTTAGATAAATCACATCTTGTAATCAGCTGGAGAACTCATTTTGAACTATATTTGACCAGAACCACTAGGACTGGCTTATCTAAAGCCAGTTGAGTAGCACTTGAAATGTTTGGCTCTATGAAACCTGATGTACTTTATGATTCTGTTTTCTTCAAGGTTGTGTCTTCCTGGTCGAACGCACTTATTGTGAGTCGCTTTGGATAAAAGCGTCAGCTAAATGTAATGTAATGTAACCAGGACATGTTGTTACAATATAAGAAGCAAATGCTCAAAGGTTTTCTGATGCTAGTTGGAGATTTTCCAATAAATATGTGAACAAAAATAAGTTTCATCTGAGATACAACTCAAAATAAGATGTTTTGAGTGAACAAGATGATGCTTTGTCTAAAAACCAGACCTGGTATCTCTCTGCAGAGTCACTTCTGAAGTTCTCATGTCTGATATCAGGAGGAGAGACACATTCTGACTAGATATCAGACACAGATACTGGGCAGGGTGTTGAGTTTTTGTGGTGTGTGGTAGAGCTACAGTATGGAGGAAAGGGGGACCAGGTGTCCCACTCCTTTATTTATTATAATCATTTGTCCCACAAATTGAGACGATGTCCCCCATTAGCTGTGTCAGATGTCAATCAATCAACAAAGTCTAAAAATGTATTTAATTGGGTGTAGCCGGCGAGGGGCGATGTTTTGTTGGGAAAAAAATCCATTCAAACCAAATATATGTAAGTCCTTTACTTGCATAGTTTGTTCAAACACAAACACTCTTTGTCCCACATGTGGCTTGTTAGCAACCCTAATGGTGGATGAGGGGGAAAAGCACTCATTTTCCAGTATAGCTAAATACTGCTTTTCACTGTGCAGTATTTTACATTAAAGGTGGGTAAGTTTGAGAAACCGGCTCGAGATACACTTGTTGTTATATTCCATGGAATGCTCTTAACGTCCTGATAGCTATGAATATCTGAAGTGCTTTGAAGCCGTGGCGCTGTAAAAAGCTCGACCAATCATCTGAGCCGGCTAAAGTAACTGGATGGCCTACCTGCCTGTCAGCCTTCCATCGGGGCACAAACTGATCTCTGCCCTCATTGGTCATGAGCGCGTTCGTGTGTGTTGGAGGAGGGGCTCTGGCAGGAAGTGGCAGATTTTTTTCCGGCTGTGTATTTTCATATTCTAGCGCACTCGAGCTGGTTCCTCCAAAATTACCGACCCCACCTTTAATGGAGGGACCGTCTATGTTTCTTGTAGATATTTAATTGCTCTTTTTACTGCACTGTTAGTGTACAGTTTTATTATTATGCTGCTGTGTTTATTGGATTTTTGTATCTCTGGCACAACAATTTCCTTCTGGATAAATAAAGTCCTGTCTTATCTTTTCTTAGCCCATATTAGATCTAATATTACATGTTTGTTTTATAATTATTATACACAGTGTTCACTTGGTAAAGGTGGGCATTATTTCAATTACTTACCTATAATAATACATAACGATTTATATTCTATATTATAAATCCATACCTGCAAAGTAGCTTAGCTCAATTTGTAAAAGAAAACGTAGTGGAGTAAAAAGTAAAAGTAGCATACCGTGAAAATACTCAAGTGAAGTACAAGTACCTCAAACTTGTACTTAAGTACAGTGCTTGAGTACATGTACTGCGTTCTGGTTGCAGCATGCCTCGTGCAGAGTAATGTCCTGATAGCAGCAGAAACTGTAAATCTGCTCCTCAAACGGTCCCATCGTCTCCTCATGTAGAGTTAGCCTATAGCGCGGAGCAGGGAGGACGTGCTCACCCTGCAGGAAGCGGCTGCTTCCCTCGACTAAAGAGCAACGGGATTTCTCCAGAGGATTTAGGAAAATAGCTGGAAATAAGGTCTGTGGAAAACAAACCTGTTTGATAAATGCACGTTTTGTTCAGCCGGATAATCTCCACGTCTACTTTTATAATGTTCTAATCATAAATCTAATGGCGTGAAGCAAAATGCTAACGTGATGCTATAAAGGAGCTACAGGCGAGTCCAGCAGCACGACTTCAACGTCACGCCAACTTCAGATCCAGATTCAAACTCACAGATTCTAGATGGAACGAGTTGAAGCATTTGTTTGAACAGTCTGCAGGAGGCAGGGACTTGCTTTCAAGCAGAACAGAAACTAACTTAGAGGAGTGTTCACGTGTTCGGCGTAATGACGTACAACGGCCTCCACGACTTCTGTAGTCCTATTCAGCCACTTGGTAACAACCATCGTTTCTCAGACACGTCCACTCTTCAGAAATCACAGTGGGGTCACTGCTGATGATTTAATGTCCTAGAACAAAACGTGATGCGTCTCAACCACAGACCTTAGTTCAGATACTTTCCAAAACCCTATGGAGAGATCCCATTGGCTCTGAGACCAGGGAACAGGAAGTGGAGAAATGCTGACTCACTTCCTGGTTTTAGGACTCGTCACTGCACCGCTCTATAGGAGGATGTTGATAAAGAGCAGCGGAGGAATACCTAACACCCACAAATAAAACCCCTCCAGCAGATGAAGGTCAGCACAGCCAAGCAGAAGAAGATTCATTTGCTCTTACCTCTGATAAATTATGAAATTAGCCTGTCGAGGGGAGAAAACAGTGTTTGGTGAGAGGTGCTGAGAGGGGTCCCACTGAGAGGGGGTCACATGTCATTTCAATGTGTGCCTTCTTTCATTTCTGCAAACATTAAAGCTCTTTTATAACTGACGTCCTGTGGAACATCAGAGCAGGGGTTTTAATCTTTCATTTCAAAGGAAATTAGGTTTCTTCATGTTTGTCTAATATTTCAGAAGAGAAGTAGTTAGAGAAATAGGTTCAATATTTGGATTTGAAACGATAACATTTGATTTCCTGCTGCTAATGCTGTTACTAATGCTAATGATGCTACTGCTAAGGCTCCACCTGCTGCTAACGCTGATGCTAATGATGCTGTTTTCATGTTGGGAAAAGTAAAAATAACTCAAACTGAGCTAGTGACGTGTTAACAGCAAACCCAATGTTTTCCACACATTCTGCTGCTAATGCTAATGCTGCTTCTGCTAATGCTAATGTTGCTTCTGCTAATGCTAATGCTGCTTCTGCTAATGCTGCTTCTGCTAATGCTGCTTCTGCTAATGCTGCTTCTGCTAATGCTAATGCTGCTTCTGCTAATGCTGCTTCTGCTAATGCTAATGCTGCTTCTGCTAATGCTAATGCTGCTTCTGCTAATGCTAATGCTGCTTCTGCTAATGCTGCTTCTGCTAATGCTGCTTCTGCTAATGCTGCTTCTGCTAATGCTAATGCTGTTTCTGCTAATGCTGCTTCTGCTAATGCTAATGCTGCTTCTGCTAATGCTGTTTCTGCTAATGCTGCTTCTGCTAATGCTAATGCTGTTTCTGCTAATGCTGTTTCTGCTAATGCTAATGCTGTTTCTGCTAATGCTGCTTCTGCTAATGCTAATGCAGCTTCTGCTAATGCTGTTTCTGCTAATGCTGCTTCTGCTAATGCTAATGCTGCTTCTGCTAATGCAGCTTCTGCTAATGCTGTTTCTGCTAATGCTGCTTCTGCTAATGCTAATGCTGTTTCTGCTAATGCTGCTTCTGCTAATGCTGTTTCTGCTAATGCTGCTTCTGCTAATGCTAATGCTCTTTCTGCTAATGCTGCTTCTGCTAATGCTGTTTCTGCTAATGCTGCTTCTGCTAATGCTAATGCTGTTTCTGCTAATGCTGCTTCTGCTAATGCTGCTTCTGCTAATGCTAATGCTGTTTCTGCTAATGCTGCTTCTGCTAATGCTAATGCAGCTTCTGCTAATGCTGTTTCTGCTAATGCTGCTTCTGCTAATGCTAATGCTGTTTCTGCTAATGCTGCTTCTGCTAATGCTAATGCAGCTTCTGCTAATGCTGCTTCTGCTAATGCTGCTTCTGCTAATGCTAATGCTGTTTCTGCTAATGCTGCTTCTGCTAATGCTGCTTCTGCTAATGCTGCTTCTGCTAATGCTAATGCTGTTTCTGCTAATGCTGTTTCTGCTAATGCTAATGCTGTTTCTGCTAATGCTGCTTCTGCTAATGCTAATGCAGCTTCTGCTAATGCTGTTTCTGCTAATGCTGCTTCTGCTAATGCTGCTTCTGCTAATGCTGCTTCTGCTAATGCTAATGCTGTTTCTGCTAATGCTGTTTCTGCTAATGCTAATGCTGCTTCTGCTAATGCTGCTTCTGCTAATGCTGCTTCTGCTAATGCTGCTTCTGCTAATGCTGCTTCTGCTAATGCTAATGCTGCTTCTGCTAATGCTAATGCTGTTTCTGCTAATGCTAATTCTGCTAATGCTGCTTCTGCTAATGCTGCTTCTGCTAATGCTAATGCTGCTTCTGCTAATGCTAATGCTGTTTCTGCTAATGCTGCTTCTGCTAATGCTGCTTCTGCTAATGCTGCTTCTGCTAATGCTGCTTCTGCTAATGCTAATGCTGTTTCTGCTAATGCTGCTTCTGCTAATGCTGCTTCTGCTAATGCTGCTTCTGCTAATGCTGCTTCTGCTAATGCTAATGCTGCTTCTGCTAATGCTGCTTCTGCTAATGCTAATGCTGCTTCTGCTAATGCTGTTTCTGCTAATGCTGCTTCTGCTAATGCTGCTTCTGCTAATGCTGCTTCTGCTAATGCTGCTTCTGCTAATGCTAATGCTGCTTCTGCTAATGCTGCTTCTGCTAATGCTAATGCTGCTTCTGCTAATGCTGTTTCTGCTAATGCTGCTTCTGCTAATGCTAATGCTGCTTCTGCTAATGCTAATGCTGCTTCTGCTAATGCTGTTTCTGCTAATGCTGTTTCTGCTAATGCTGCTTCTGCTAATGCTGCTTCTGCTAATGCTGCTTCTGCTAATGCTAATGCTGCTAATGCTGCTTCTGCTAATGCTAATGCTGTTTCTGCTAATGCTGCTTCTGCTAATGCTAATGCAGTTTCTGCTAATGCTGCTTCTGCTAATGCTAATGCTGCTTCTGCTAATGCTGTTTCTGCTAATGCTGCTTCTGCTAATGCTAATGCAGTTTCTGCTAATGCTGCTTCTGCTAATGCTAATGCTGCTTCTGCTAATGCTGTTTCTGCTAATGCTAGAGTTGCTTCTGCTAATGCTGCTGCTAATCAATCAATCAATGTTTATTTATATAGCCCAATATCAAAAATGGTACATTTGTCTCTGTGGACTTTACAGATTGTACAGGATATGAATATGAATACTAATGCTAGTGTTGCTTCTGTTGCTGCTAATGTTAATATTGCTTCTGCTAATGCTAGAGTTGCTTCTGCTAATGCTGCTACTAATGCTAGTCTCTGTTAAATGAACTTATAAATAATAATAAAAAGCAAAAACTTCAGGTACTTTGCTAATTTGAATCACGTTTTGCTTTAAAATGTGTTTTTCTTAAAAAGGATTTTGCTTTATTTGTCTACCTTGTCAGCGTCATTCAGGGTCAAACACAGACCACTCTATTCACATTATTTTAATCTGGTTTCTTTCACATGTTGAAGACCCTGTTTTGTTAACTCACTGTCCAGGTTCTCACACAGCTATTGTTGCTTCTGCTAATGCGTTTTTGCTTCCGCTAATCTCTGTTCAATCAACCTATACCTAATAATTAGAAGCTACATTTTTTTGAAACTTCAGGTGTTTTGCAATTTAAAAAAATAATCATTTTTGGCTTTAAAATGAGTCAATATTGGATTGAATTTACATCTGAACAGAACACTTCTTCTTGCTTTATCTTTCTATGTTGTCAGGGTCTTTCAGGGTCCAACACAGACATCCCTGCACCACAATATTCATATTGTGATAATCTGATTTCTTTCACATGTTGAAGACCCTGTTTTATTAACTGTTGGGAAAATACTGAATGTACTATTTCAATATCAGAGTAGCACATGATAACATCTATATTGTGACTGTGTAACTCCCTCTCTTGGATATCAGCATGTGAAGGACACTGTTCAGGAACTAGTTGATGCTCTGTATGTGATGACTCCTTCCATTCTGGAGAGGATCACAGACACATGGATCCTGAGACTGAAGGGAGATTTCTCTAACTTGAACTCACTGTTGGGGTTCAGGTTCTCACACAGCTCGGTCTTGGCCTCTCCGTTGGGCCGGTCGCTGGCTTTGTGCGAGAGGCGGGACGACATGGTGGCGGCGGTGGCGACGGCCTTGAAGGAGCGTTTCCTCTTTTGCACGTTGAGCTCCGGGTGTAAGATGATGACGTAGACTTTGGGCATGAAAAGCATCCCGAGGGCCACGGACGCACTCAAGTTCATGGAGATGGTGAGGGTGGTGGTCTGGATGTACAGCTGGAGGGACAGAGGATAAAGGTAAGGAAGTAAATGCATCACAAGGCAAGGCAAGTTTATTTATATAGCAGCTTTCAACACAAGCAATTCAAAGTGCTTTAAAATAATGAAAACATTAAGAGCGCTAAGAAATAGTGGTTAAAAGGACCTGGGAGTTTGTTCCAGATATTTGGAGCATAATAACTGAATTTCTCCATGTTCTGACTCTGGGGACAGAAAGCTGACCAGGTGGTTCATGATGTAATCATTCAGTTCTTTATTAACCAGCAGCAGTAGTTTGGAGTCTCTGGAGGACAGGAAGCCAGTTCAACACTGCATTCAACCACTGACCCCCCCCCCCCCTATTTTCCTGTTCTGTTTATCTATTTTTTGTATTTCTTTGTTAGCCATTATTTTATTTTTTTTCTCTCGTCTCTTTTTCTCCTTTTAATTCTCTGTCAAAGCGTCTTTGAGTTTCATGAAAAGCGCTAAAAAAATGTATTATTGTTATTATTAAAGACCTCCAAAATCATAAAAGGAGCTCCAGTGAGTAGATTACTGCATGACACACACACACACACACACACACACACACAGACACAGACACACACACACACAGACACACACACGCACGCACGCACGCAGCGGGAGGCAAAACGAGCTGCGGATTCTAAAGGTATTCAATACATGTAGAGGAGCATCAACATATACTTAAAGTACCAACAGTATAAGTACTTGTACTTGAGAGTCAAAGTAGAAGTACTCGGATCTTGTACTTGAGTAAAAGTAGAAGTACTCAGATCTTGTACTTGAGAAAAAGTAGAAGTACTGAGGTCTTGTACTTGAGTAAAAGTAGAAGTACTCAGATCTTGTACTTGAGTAAAAGTAGAAGTACTCAGGTCTTGTACTTGAGTAAAAGTAGAAGTACTCAGATCTTGTTCTTGAGTAAAAGTAGAAGTACTCAGATCTTGTACTTGAGTAAAAGTAGAAGTACTCATATCTTGTACCTGAGTAAAAGTAGAAGTACTCAGGTCTTGTACTTGAGTAAAAGTAGAAGTACTCAGATCTTGTTCTTGAGTAAAAGTAGAAGTACTCATATCTTGTACCTGAGTAAAAGGAGAAGTACTCAGATCTGATACTTGAGTAAAAGTAGAAGTACTCAGATCTTGTACTTGAGTAAAAGTAGAAGTACTCAGATCTTGTACCTGAGTAAAAGTAGAAGTACTCAGGTCTTGTACTTGAGTAAAAGTAGAAGTACTCAGATCTTGTTCTTGAGTAAAAGTAGAAGTACTCATATCTTGTACCTGAGTAAAAGGAGAAGTACTCAGATCTGATACTTGAGTAAAAGTAGAAGTACTCAGATCTTGTACTTGAGTAAAAGTAGAAGTACCAGAGTGTAGGAATACTCTGTCACAGTAAAAGTCCTGCATTCAAAATGTTCCTCAAGTGAAAGTAGAAAAGTATTCTCATCAAAATATAGTTAAAGACAGTAAAAGTAGTCGTTGTGCAGATTGGTCCATTTCAGAATAATATATATGATATGTTTTATAATGATTGATCATGAAAGTGTTCTCAAAGCTGGTGAAGGTGCAGCTAGTTTGAATGACTTTGTATACTGCAGGGTAGCTGGTGGATTTACTCCAGGTGGAACTAAAGTCTGATTCAACACTTGATTAGATTTACCATCATTCATCCACATCTGTGAAGTAACTACCTCTGAACTGTAGAGGAGTAGAAGTACAAGGTAGCAGAATATGGAAATACTCAAGTAAAGTACTAGTACCTCTAAATTGTACTTGTTTACTCCTCTGATGAAAAGAGCGAGAATGAGGATTGTGTTGAATACTGCAGGCAGCTCTCTAAAGACTCCATTAGGATATTAAAGCTGCAGTTTGATATCATCATTATTACTACTTATCATATCTGCTGAGCTTCATGGATTGTCCCTGACCTAAATACACTCAGCAATAACCATGTGTTCAAACAGTGGGTCCAAGAGCAGGAGGAGTGTTATCACAAAGACTTAAAGCAGGGTTGTGACAGAGGAGTTTCTTTTCCTTTTTCTGTAGAGGAAGTAAATAAACCTCAGGATGTATTTGTTGTTTGAGGTGCAATATAAGACTCAGCAGCTTTAAGACACGAAGACACTACTATTTCTAGCTTCGCTCTAATGCACTATTTTTATTAGCGCCCTCATGCTATATCTTTCATGAAAAACCCTGTTAAGTATTACAATTTAATTCTTAAAGTACAAAAACTAAACGTTATAGCTTCTAAAAGTATCAAAAGTATCAAAAGCTAAAAATATTGTTTTTGCTTTGATGGTAAAACTTTTACTTTTCCGACTTCTTAGATGGTGAATCTTACATTTGTGTTTCTTTAAGATCATTTTCATGGTTAAACTTTTAGTTTTTGTAAGCCATAAATCAATGTTACTAAACAGTACAAGTACAAACAGTATATATAAACCTCAAGAAATACTTGAAGATCAACGACTAAAAAGTTTTAGCATGGTGATACACTGTGAAAAGTAAAAGTATTCAAATAATACTAAAATCAAAAATAGTATTACGTAAAAAATACCTAAAGGGCCAAGAGTGAAAGTATTACCATCGAAAGGTAGTACAGAAAGTAAAAGTATCACCACTGAAAAAGTATTCGAAGTACAAAAAGTAAAAGGATTAGCCTAAAATAATACTACCAGTAAAAGGACTAAAGGTTTAGGCATGGAAATGTTCTTAAAGTATGAAAAGTTGAAGCATTACCATCAAGCGGTACTGGCAGTACGAAAAGGTAAAGTATCCCCAGCTAGAAATACTTTGATTTGAATTACAAAAAGATCTTTTGATTTTAAGTTGAATTACTTGTTAAAAGACAAGTTTAGTTATGTGTAAACGTGTTGCCTGTGTGCCGCAGTTTGTCCATTTAGGCTTGCCGTAGTTTTCTATCTTCTAGAAAAGTCTATGGAGCACAAGAGCTGTTTTTCCTGCTGAACCCAGAGGCATGTGTCTGCAGGTTTTCAGCTGTCCTCAGTTTAAATACTGACCTGCAGCACTGGTTGAAAACAGTTGTTCTAGACGGTGGAAGCAGGGAGAGGCATATACGTGCCTTGATCCCTGCCGAGTCGACGCTCAACTGTTGATTAGTGTCAGTGCCAAACAACTTTCTAGGAGCAATGCGCTCATGGTATAGATGTGACGCATACATCTTAGCTCCTACTCTTTCCCTCACCCTATCCTAAGGGAGTGCATGTACGTAGACACATTGGTTTAGCTGCTATAGGCTTAGACTGTCTTTCTCTCTGTCTGTACCTGTGTACTCTCATGTTCCGATTAACCCAGCTTCCCCCAAATCTCTTTTTTGTATCTATATCTACGCCGGGACCCGGAGTCGAAGCTGATCCTGTTGCTGTGGTCGTGTGTCCTGGATCCTCTATCCTGAGTTCTGGATCTGAGTCCTGGACTTCGAGTCGTGGCTGAACCTGTCTCTGCGGTCCTGCCTGACTCTCACCATGCTGCTTCCCTGATGGCTTCCTCAGGATTGTAGCTAACATCCTCGTGGATTCATCTTCTTATTACAGACACATGCATTTCCTAACATTCTGTCTATATGCTGTCAAATGTATTATCTCTTGGATTTACACACGGCATCTATTGCACGTCTGTCCGTCCTGGGAGAGGGATCCCTCCTCTGTTGCTCTCCCTGAGGTTTCTCCCATTTGTTCCCTTAAACTGTGGGTTTTCTCTGGAAGTTTTTCCTTGTACGATGTGAGGGTCTAAGAATAGAGGGTCTGAGGACAGAGGGTCTAAGGACAGAGGGTCTAAGGATAGAGGGTCTAAGGACAGAGGGTCTGAGGACAGAGGGTCTGAGGACAGAGGGTCTGAGGACAGAGGGTCTAAGGACAGAGGGTCTCAGGACAGAGGGTCTAAGGACAGAGGGTCTGAGGACAGAGGGTCTAAGGACAGAGGGTCTCAGGACAGAGGGTCTAAGGACAGAGGGTCTGAGGACAGAGGGTCTAAGGACAGAGGGTCTGAGGACAGAGGGTCTAAGGACAGAGGGTCTCAGGACAGAGGGTCTAAGGACAGAGGGTCTCAGGACAGAGGGTCTAAGGATAGAGGGTCTAAGGATAGAGGGTCTAAGGACAGAGGGTCTGAGGACAGAGGGTCTAAGGACAGAGGGTCTCAGGACAGAGGGTCTAAGGACAGAGGGTCTCAGGACAGAGGGTCTAAGGACAGAGGGTCTAAGGACAGAGGGTCTGAGGACAGAGGGTCTGAGGACAGAGGGTCTGAGGACAGAGGGTCTGAGGACAGAGGGTCTAAGGACAGAGGGTCTGAGGAAAGAGGGTCTAAGGACAGAGGGTCTCAGGACAGAGGGTCTGAGGACAGAGGGACAGAGGGTCTGAGGACAGAGGGTCTGAGGACAGAGGGTCTAAGGACAGAGGGTCTCAGGACAGAGGGTCTGAGGACAGAGGGTCTGAGGACAGAGGGTCTAAGGACAGAGGGTCTCAGGACAGAGGGTCTGAGGACAGAGGGACAGAGGGTCTGAGGACAGAGGGTCTGAGGACAGAGGGTCTAAGGACAGAGGGTCTAAGGACAGAGGGTGTCGTATTGTCATACTGATATTTTGTACACACTGTGAAGACCACTGAGACAAATGTAACATTTGTGATATTGGGCTATAAATAAACATTGATTGATTGATTGATTCTATATGTGAGAAAACTTTAAAACAATGGCAATGCTAAGTGGGATAGCATGTCAACATAGGCGGCGCCAGGGGGGCGCTAGGGGGTGCTGAAGCTCCCCCTAGCCATAGCACCCCCCAAGCACCCCCAAGAAATGTATGTCTTTTTTTATTTTTACGTGTGGAATTCATAATTTGAAAAATGATTGATGAGAAAATAATATGCCACAGTACAGAACAAGTACTTCTGTGTCTCTGTGTTTCATTCAAGCTCGGCTCTGTGTGTGTGTGGCAGGCGCGCATTTAGTGTGATTAAGCGAGCGAGCGAGAGAGCGAGAGCACACCGTGCCAGGGACCGTGTTGTTAGCATCTGTTTAGCTAGCTGCACTAACGACTATAAGGAGCTGTTTCTACAACAAGGTGAAGGGAATGTCCTCTCCTCTCAGACTGAGGGACTCAGGTGAGCTAAAGGACTCTCTGAGTGTGTAGATAGTTCACTTTAGTCTAAGTTATCTCAGTGGGTCTGAAACGGTTTGGTCACGATTTATTATTTTATATATTTATTTATGTAAACAATAATTTCCGAGGCACACCTTTATATGATCATTATAGTTATAAAACAATAA